TGGTGTGGCTGCAGCCCCCTCCTCTGTCCTCCCCTTCCAGTGCTGCCACTGCCTGCCCGGTGCCGCCCTGGTCCCAGCCCCAGCTACAGCCTGCCATGCCCTCGTGCCGTGCAGATCCAGGGGCCACACGCCCCTCCCTCATACCCCGTGCCTTCCCTGGGTGCGTGCAGCAGTCGGATCCCCCACCTCCCCTTTGTCCCTCAGACGAGCTGCGGCTCTGTCCTACGTTCTGTCCCGCCCCAGCTGGGCAGCCCCAGCCCCATTCGCTCCCTTACCGCAGGGGCCTTGATCTTCCCTCACGCTCCTTCCCTCCCCTTCCATCATAACAGACGGGCCAGTTGCACGCAGCTGTATGGGAAATCGGATCCGTATCGGCCGATTTGCCTCCTTAAAAATCAGCTATCAGTATCAGCCCCAAAAATCTCTATTGGTGCACCCCTAGCACTCACAGCAGTGGCAACGAGTTTCCTCACGTGGCCACGCTCTGCCCAGCCATGCTGGGTCCCGCCTGCCAGGCCGCGGATGCCTCGGGGCAGGGCAGCAGGGCAGGGAGCCCAAGCTCACAGCAGAAGCCTGCATGCACCCCTGCCTCGCACACAGATCTGTGGGGCATGGGTCCTCCTGTCCCCCAGGACTGTGCACAATCTATCTATATAGTGGCATTTCATTTTAATCACAGATTTTGGGGTTTTTATTAGGGAAAACCAGGATCCCTGCCGATCATTAATGTCTCTTGTGACCCTGGTTTGTTTATTTTTTTCCCCCTGGGTTTAACTTACCTAGGTTTTTGCCAAGACTTTCTCTGCCTTCCTGTAATTAATGTTACCTCAAGGCATCAGCTCATTATAGTCTCATTGGTACTTCATGTTTTTGTAATTATGTTAATTTTTTGTCATCAATTACAATCTCCTGTTTTTGTGCCTAAATAACAGGGTGCTTTAAAAGTCCTTCATCAGCAGCAGATGGCATGTTACTTTGTGATCAACATAGGCAAACATTTTTTAGGACTTCCTTTCTTATAATGTTTAATTTATAAACATTCATGCTGTATGCGGCCCTTTATGTACTTACAATAGTTTAGTTTCCAAACTGCTTGCCTTCTTTTAATTCTGGAGCAG